AAATAAATAAATAAATAAATAAATAAATAAATAAATAAATAAATAAACTAACTTAGAAAGGCCATAACCTCTGCCATCAATGTTACCAATATTGTATGTGAGAAGGGTGGTGTCAAGCCACTGGAACACCCCTTACAAATTCCAACATGCGTTGAAAACCCTTTGCTGCTTTGCTCATCAAGATTTGTATTTTTTTATTTCAGTCCTAGGCATCGCTGAATTGGGAGATAATCTGTTTCAAATTTAAAGTCACCAAGTATTCACTGTATCAACACACTTCCACAACAGACTTCAAATGTTCTTAATTCATAAAATAAAAATCCCAATATCACTGTTACACATATTATCCATATGCATCAACAGATGTACGCAGATCAACTAATTAGCCTGATCCATATGAATGAGGCCTTCTGCTGGGTAGATTAAACAGTATGTAGGAAAAAGAAACAGCTTCAAATAGATTTTGGAATATAACTCAGGCAAAAGGCTACAGTCACAAACATAATAAAACCACAGTAAATGACAATGATGACATGTAACTACCTACAAGCAAAGATCAGACAAAAGTCGTAACGAAGCGGACACATGATATCAGCTAAGTTGCGTCAATTGGTACATCACTCAAACTGGTTTCACTAGGAACTATGTCCCAATGCTGTATTGCAGAACAAGTATAATTATTTCTTCACAATCGTTGTGGTGCTCTGGAAAGGCCTGGAATCAGTTTGCAAATGTAAACAAAAGTAGAACTTTAAGAGTTTGACGTAATCACACAGTTGCATCTAAACACCAATGACAATGAAATTAAAAATTAATGTTTGCCTTTGATTCATATATGCAAGGCCATTTGCATTTGAAAGAGAAGATGAAACTGCTAAATAGATGCTTTGTAATAGTTTTCTTTTCTATAACATTGTGAAAGTGACAAACTCACAAACTGAAAAATTAAAAATTAAAAGACTTCAACAGGACTGTAGCGTTTAGTGTTTAATAAGCATATAGGGCACATACTTACAGGACTAACTTGCATGGAATACAAACAAGCACTTTCAATCTCTTTTTAGTGACTTACATGTGAAACAGATATGCTGTTTTCTAATGAGGTATTGAGGTTCCCCACTTCATTATAGAGGAGTTACACCTGTAAGAGTGTCTTTTACTTAAAGCACGGCATCATACTGTGCTGAATGCACACGACTGTTGCCCTTCCAAATGTCAGTGCCTGATTCTCAGCAGGTGAACCACAAGCCAACAGTAAATAATTTACACCAGCCCTGCATTGCTTTCCTGACTATCCTATACAAATCCAGCCGAGAGTCCTTTTTGCCATAACCCCCTGCGCCGTTACCATTTCCTCTATGCATAATTAATAAGAGAAGTACAGTGGGATGTCCATCAGTCAGGAATAAACTTGAGCAAAATCAATTTATACAATAAAAATATGAAAGCTTGTGTAATACAGCAGAATTAAAAAATAATAAATTAATTAATAAATTAATTAAGAGATGCAGGGGGTGTTAGGCATGTTATTCCAGCTTTACTGTTCAATCCATAAATTCATCAAAGGTGCTCTTTCAACCATCTGACCCGGATGTAAATGTTTGTCAGCCCAACCAGACATAATTTTAGCATTTCATTGCTGTGATCTATGGCCACTGTGGCACTCTTGCTCAATAAACCCACAACATTTCCCTAAACTGCTAAAGCCACAACCAAACAGACATAGTTGCTGCTTAACATAATGTGCATTCACATCCATCATCTTGCATCAGCCATCAATCAATTAAAACGCCCATTTGACAGATGGTTGTCCCCCACCATTAGTGCACCCCATGACCACCATAGCCACAAAAACACACAAAACTCACTGGCAGTGAATTAAATTATAATCATGACTGCAGGGCATTACTCCCCCTGTGACCAACTATCTAATCAGGAACAGTTGCAGTCAATAATCAAGATATGGAAAAGGCCAATGGATGAAGATATGGTTAAGTATATTTGAAAATTTTAATATCACTTAATATAAAATAATCTTTGATCCCTTTCAGCAAAAGATTAAGTAATTTAGCAACTGAGACGAAGGTCATCTTTACGTGTCTGTAATATCTGGTGATTTTCAAGATCGCCACTCCATGTTAAGCGTAGTAGAAAGGTTAGCTGTAGAAATCATTCAGCATATGAAACATTTTTCATGGCAACATTATAAATCATTCACATTCTAATCCACCAATACATTGCACTCTTTTTCCAAAAATCTGAATGAATGACTTAATTTTTAATTACTTCTGTGTTTTGTATGCATTGGAATTTGTAACTGTATAACTTAACACATGTGTTGGGCTATTCATACCTTTTAACTGACGGCTAATGAGGATGGTTTTATATCACATGGCCATTTTGTTATAATTTCAAACAAATAAGTTGGGTGATGTTTTTTATCTGTCTTTCAAAGCAGGCGACGTTTGGACTTTGTAAAAAGTGAGCTGCTATCGTAAACCAGATTACAGTGTAATCCGCTGTAATCATCAGCATAAACTAAATTGCTTTTATATTGAGGAATCAGAGCTGTGAAATGAGGGTGAGGGTACAAGACAACACTGCTTGAAAAAACAGATTCAGCTTCATGGAAATTCCTTACGGCAACATAATGTCAAAAGGATAGGAAAACAGAATAAAGCAATAAGTGATGTCATGTTAAGGCACAGTCAATTGTCTACCTGCGATCCAGCATAACCATGGGCTACATAGATAATAGGCGAGCCCTCTGTAAAAAACTGAGCTAAAAGGTAGAGGCAACATCCATCCCATTTTGATCGGTACAGGTCTCGTGTCTAAACATTTGACCAAATGTATTAGTTATCCAGCAACATAATTACCCACAGTCGAGACCAGAACACAGAATTAAGCTAAAACCATAAAGCTGATGTGTGTGTATTTTGTGCTTTATTTTAGTATTGACCTGTGCAAAGTCTCTCAGTAGTTTTTTTGGTGTTTATATTGATCCATGTTGTCTTACAAACGCCTGGGTTCAGCTAGAGGATACATTAAAATTAATGAATCAACTCCTAACCATTTATATTTTCACATTCCATGTACCATCTGC